ACCGCATACCTTGCCCCATAGCCGCTTCCCTCGTCAGGATCCCATGTTTTTTCGAACAGTCATCAAGCGCTTTTTGAAGTTGCTGCTGTGTGACAGAGCCGGCTACTGGTTTGTCCGAAAACCCGGAGGTGACAACGCCTTGCTCGCGTCGCATCAGGTCCACAAACGCGCGAGTTTCCACCGTCGCCGGGCGCATTGTCTCCGTACGACCGTGTTTGAAGGCAGCCGTACTGCATGATTCATAGGTGGGCACAGGCTGTTCATGGAGGATGTTGTATGCGAGCTGTGACAAACAGAGAAAGGTTGTTTAATTCTCCAATCTACGGGAAATGCAGCAGCGTACATAATGAAACCGATATCAGCCAGACAAAGTGAAGAATTCGGTCCGAGAGTAACACTCATTCGCACAACAATCGTTCAGCTGTAGCCCAACTGCCATGCCACCTGAAGGTTGCACGAGGGCTGGGATACTGCCAGGTTGCCCAAGCCTAGACAGGGGTGTCGAGATGGGGCAGAGGTCGGGTTCGAACCATGAACCTTTCGGTCGGAAAATTCGCCCCTCATTTGCACAACAATTTGGTCCTAACGGAGACGAACTTAAATCTTCGTTGGTTCTCTAATTTTCAATGTTCATCAACCGAATGTGATGTACAAAGGCCACCTAATGTTTCAGTTGGCGCGATATTCAAGATATCGCAGTATAATTTCCTGATGGAAATTCCTCACAAGATTGCTAGGAACTCTTCGATAGTCCACGACCGGTCTCGCCCTTCTTGCGGCCAATCACATAGACGCAGTCACTTCAATCAAATCTACGTTCTAATTGAACTGAAATCATGCTAAATCATCGTACAGATCGAAGGGTTGTGAGTAGTCTTACAAGTAGTGTGTGCTGTTTATTCCGGTCCGTGGTGGAAACTGGGAGCAGACAAACCCTGATGGGATGGATAAGTAGTAAGAGCGCGACTTTGCTGACCGGAAGATCCATGGCTAAGAACCCGACCTCTGCCGCATCTCGACTTCCCCTGTCTAGGCTTGGGCAACCTGGCAGTATCCTAGCCCTCGTGCTTTCTCCGGGTGCCATGGCAGTTAGGCACCGGAAGGGTGCTACAGCTGAACAAACGTCAGCTTGCGACTATAACTGGAAATGAAACGAACAGTCACGATGAACACATCCTCGGCTCGTCCAAGAAGTGATATTTATATGGGTCCTTATGATGAGTAATGTACCGGGAGTATAAATTTATTTTATCTATATAGTGTAGAAGCCCACTGGTTTGCAAGCGACTTCTACTGAGGTCAGCATGAGTAGTAGGTTGTGTGCAAGATGTATAAGGTTAGAGACCTCCAGCTAACGGTTCACCACAGTTCATTCTATAATAGCGACTATAACTGGAGATGAAACGAACAGTCACGATGAACACATCCTCGGCTCGTCCAAGAAGTGATATTTATATGGGTCCTTATGATGAGTAATGTACCGGGAGTATAAATTTATTTTATCTATATAGTGTAGAAGCCCACTGGTTTGCAAGCGACTTCTACTGAGGTCAGCATGAGTAGTAGGTTGTGTGCAAGATGTATAAGGTTAGAGACCTCCAGCTAACGGTTCACCACAGTTCATTCTATAATAACGTAATAATAATAATAATAATAATACATTTTCAGCTGACTAATCGGGTGCGCGGCCGCCATGTTACCCGACGGGAACACGACGGCTGACATACTACCAAGTTGCCCAAGACGAAGTCGAGATGCCGGAGCTCAGGTCGGACTTTCCGACCAGTAAGTTCACACCTCAAAAATCGTTCAGCTGTAGCATCCTTCCGGTGCCTAGCTGCTGTGCTACCCGAATGTTGCACGAGGGCTGGGATGCTGTCAGGTTGCCCAAGCCTAGAAAGGGGAAGTCGAGAGACAGAGGTCGGGTTCGAACCACGGACCTTGCGGTTAGTAAATTCGCACTCTAACCACTTGGGCCGTCTCGCCGTCACGTCTCAACCACTGAGCCATCTCGGACTGAGTTGATGGAACCAAATTACAGGGAAAGACAAGCTGGAAGCTGGAACTCGGTAGGGTTCATCCGATAGGAATGAATGCTATTCAGTGCGACGAGGGGATGACAACCTCCTTCTTATCAGGAACGAGGTGTGATAAACAGAGCATAGATGACAGTGTGCCGGACGACTAAGCGTTCTTTTCCGAAGTCAGACGACATCGAAACTATCAGGAAGGTCAGATTCCTGGAAGTAACGACTGAATCTATTGATTTAGGCCGATCACGAGGATTCCCCCTCTCAATCTCGGGAATATGCAAACACGGATCGAAACGCCCAGAGTTAAACGTAGAAAATTAGGCCGGTCACTGTGAGAGGAACATCAAGGAATAGCAGATTTGAGGAGGATGACTAGAGCACCTTTAGAGGAGACTACTGGAAGGAACAGTCCCAAAGCACAACCCAGAAATGGTTTATTCAGACTAAGGTTGGCTTTTCTGTTGTGGCCATTCTCCTTAGGTCAGTTGCTCTACTTCAAGGCTGTTTGGGCGTTCACTTTTGTAACGCACTTCTTGAGTTTCTGGGCTTCCACATTGCAAAAATTCCCTACGCATCCAACACCGCCACAAAAGTTGTCCACTTGTGTTCCACTTGCACCACCAGCTTCCTAGGATTGGGCGTTGGGGTTAAGCAGCGTTTGCGATCACAAAGTCATACGAATTGGAGTCACACTGCATAGTGTAGATATCAAGTTTAACGACGAGGAGCCGAAATTGGAATGGTCCTGCGAAAGTATTCGATCTACTCACCGGTTAGAATCAGTACCTGATATCTCCTAGGATCCATTTCGTTGTGCGGGATTCAGATGCAATCCTGAGGGTGTCGAGTTCGAAGAACTGCAGTCAAGATGACTACCGAGAGCAGGAGTATGCGCAAGGCAATGAGTAATGCACGGGGGGGGAGGACTAGGCACTCACCTGGAAACAGAGCTGAATCATCGCATCCGCACCAACGTTGGCTGCCTTACACAACGATCTGGTCAAGCTGTCATGCTTTTCGACAAAGTGCAAGATCACAGATCGCCTCCAAGCGTCGTATTTCTGCCTAGCAGGCGTGAGTACCTCATTCTGAATGTGGTCGTCCAAAAGCCATTCCAGTCGGCGGACATCCGGGCTAGGAAGGCTGAGATTGAAAAAAACATCAAGGTCTACGATGCTTTTTAAGACAAAAATGCGAAAATTCAGCTACCGTGTGCAGTGAATCAACAAACAGGTAGGTTAACTGGTGAGACGGCTCAATACCAAGACGACAGCGTCGTTAAGTCTTACCCAAATGGAACTTCGAGTGCCTCGAAAATCGTTGCAAACACGCGCGAAAAGTTTCCACTTGTTTTAATAGAAAGCAATAGATTTGTGCATAGTGTGACAAAAATAGAGCCTTACTACGATCAAATACGGACGAGTTAACCAGCATATTTTATCGGTTCGTACCATTCAGATTGGTGTAGCTGGCGACTTCTTCGCAAAGGCGTCACGACAAAGTTTGTCCTGAAAATTTACGCTGACGCGTATTCTGGATGGGGATCCCGAGACGGGCCATATCAATGGTTGGAGACATTGTCAGACACGGCCCAGTCGCGCCCTCAATTGCGCTCATGCATCCAAGCTATTGTCTTCAATGCATAGCTCCCTTGCCAATCTCCGCACTTAACAGTTCACCTACAGTGCCGTATTTACGCACTAATTTATCAGCTCCCGCCTCCAATGCGCAGCTACCTACCCCACCTGCCCAAATCATCGATGAACGAAACTGTGGCAGCTACAACCACTGTACAATAAGTACGCGTTTATTACAGCTGACAATGATGATGATGATGATGATGATGAGAGCATGTAGTCAGTTCTAAAGAGCAATCCGCCAGGTGCTTCTCCAATTCGCTTGCATGAATGATGCTTATTCGGCAGTTGTATCGAGTAGTGGTCTGAGTTCCGTGCGATTAGACTGTGGAGCAAGAAGTGGAGCCCCAAGAAGGGCGAAACCGGTCGTGGGCTGTCGAAGAGTTTTCAGCAACCTTGTGAGTAGTTTCCTTCATGAAAATATACTGCGATATCGCGAATATCGTGCCAACTGAATCATGAGGCGGCCTGTGTGCAGTACATTCAGCTGGAGGACATCATAAACGAGAGATTCAATTGCGTCTCCTGTGAAAACCAAATTAATTTGCAAATGAGCGTATTTCAAGAAAACAAAGTTTGTCACCAAGCGATCAGCGTTTTTATATTTAGCCAGACAACGAATCTGCCTTTCTTCAAGAAGAAGCGTGGTGAAAACGTCAATCCCAAAAGTCGCACACCAAGGTCATCCAACATTTGACCGTGAGCACCGGCAACTTAGCGAATAAGGTTGAAAAATCAAATTCTACTCAAAGCCAGTTGCAGCCGCAAATTGGTCTTGGCGTAGCGGCATCAGGAGTGTTATTGCTGAGCCTTACTTCGTGCACTCCCAGACTAGGCCATTCACCATGGAAGAATGGATCCGACTTGAGTCACTCGCTCAGAGGGAACCTGCTGCACTACACGTCAGTGATGACGATCCTGGAGGGGGATTCTACATGTCTCCTTTTCCTGGAAGTCAGACTTTTGCGTCAAAAACACCATCCCTCCTCGATCAACCGTTTAACTCTCACTGCATACAAGATGCAGCCTGTAAAAAAAGCCTGTCAGTCTAACCAACCTCCAAAAGTGGAACACATCGATCGGAAGGATGGAAAGTTGTTCGAAATTATAAAAAAACATCCACTAAGAGTTCCACACCTGGCTGTGGGGGTCCCAAAACAAGACCGGAGGTACAATAAAGTTCCATCCATCCATGTTTAAGATCAAGGCGTGCGAGGTGATACCATCGGCCAAGAAGTATGACCTAACAGGGCCTCTTGAACAGACGTTGACCTAGGAAAGATCTTGAGTGAACAGATTTTATCAGATCCCACCTAGATAAGGATGATCTCCATGATCAACATGCCACCACGTGATTAGGTATGTAACTGGTATCTTTAGAATGCAGTGTTACCGTAAAACTGAGCGAGCACCCCACCATCAGAACCGCGTGAGACAACGGACATATTTACCCATCTGGCTATTGGCATTGCTCACCCAGAGAGTGCCTAAATCACCAAAAATCACCGCTCTAGTAGCCAGCTGAAAACCAACAGACTGCATTGACCCGCCGGTCAATATTTTGCCTCCGAGCCCTCTCATATGATTCCATGGGAGAGACACGTGAAATCAGGCTGGTCCTGTGATTCAGGCGGCTTGGCTCAGGTTTGTAAAGATGGCATCAAAACATGGAAACAGTTCAACCTCGAGGTAGTTCAGAAAGTAGAGCTCCGTGGTTCAGACCCAACACTGCCTCTTGATTGCTCCTCTGAAGGCTTGGGCAACCTGGTCCTTGTGTTTCTGTCAGGGCACGCCCAGACAGAAGAAAAAGCACATGTGCAGAGAGTGACGCATCCCCAAGGTCACCATCGGTTCGACACGTCCGGAAAGTAGGTGAGTCGGCGGCTCTCACCAAACCGCGGCTTAGCAACATACGACCAGCAAAGTGGGCCTGAGACTGTTCACGACCGGAACACCGCCATTGGCTGTACGGAACGAACAGGTGAACGACTATATTTGGCCATTTAGTCATCCAATATATTTACGCAGACGCTCTGTATGTTTTGTCCTGACAATACAGCCGTGTCCCCAGTCCTCTGTCTTCTTCCTATCGCGTAGTCTGGCAGGCTCAGCGCAGGTGTAACCCCAACAGACGGCCACCGCAAGTTACAACAGTTTCCTTCCAGTGGCCTAACAGCCATGCGAGGTGGCTCAAATGGTTAGAGCGCGCGGCTTTAGTGACCGGAAGGTCCGTGGTTCGAACCCTACCTCCCCTATGGACTTGGGCAATCTGGCAGTATCCAAACCCTCGTGCTTCCCCTGGGTGGCATGGCAGTTAGGCACCGGAAGAGTGTTACAGCTGAACGTTTTTCTGTCACGGCTGAACGGTTGTGGATTGCGTCCATTGTTAATCGGAGTCATCATAATTGTACGACAGAAGCGATGGTACGTCATACAGCGTGTTATATCAACAAAGTAAATCGAATGATCATTTTTGAGTCAAACTGTTTCTTGATGTTCTTCACGACTCACCGGTCGGAACGCCCAACTACAACCGAAAATCAACGCAGAAACACGTGACGAAGGTAGCACGTGAAAATGATTTCCAAACCAAACTTCCAGAAATGACGCTATCAAGCCGCTAGGTCATGTAGGACAGTGTTAGGCGAAATCGTGCGCGAAAGCCACATTCCTGCTCGCAGTCAGGCACTACCACGGCCAATAAGTCGAACTGGTCGAACGTGATTGGTCAGCTGAGCGGACCGCTCGCCTCTCCAGCACTGAGGCGAGCTCTGATTGGTCGAAAACATGGGCCAAACAGCAAATCACGATTCAGTATCCGCTGTATGTGGGTAGGCAATGGCGTATCTAGAATGCATCCTAGTCTTCAGAATGTTGCGTCGTCACATGCACTTTAAATGCGACGCACCGTACATAATTCACCTGCTTTGGGGCGTTTAATATACTTTGTGTAGCTTTGGTGGAAAACGCTAGACAGGGAGGATTAGAATCGATAACTGAGCTGAGGCGTTACCGTTATTACACAAAATAAGCCCATCATGTCCCAGGAGAAACAATCTGCTATGGCTCAAATTAGCAACAGATGAGATAAGGACACCTTACTGACTCACGAATTATTCGAGTTGAGCAAATCGGCCGCGGTGACAACAGGTTTCGACTCTGAATTTTCGTACACATCGTTACACAGGCGAACCACCGCAACTCCGTCACCCCAGGAGTGTTCAAAATTGACTGCCGCATGTCCAGTCCCGTTCACTAAAAGACTGACACTTTTGTCGAACCAGCGTGACTCAGATGGCCCAGCAAGGAAATTCAGTAGCTGTGCAGTTGACGAAAAATAGTTGTGATAGCATGCCGAGACGCAAATGAAATTCAATGTCAGTGATACCAATACAATGATACAAAAATCGTTCAGCTGTAACACCCTTTCAGTTCACAACTGTCAAGGAAGCACGAGAGTTGGGATACTGCCCAAGGTTGTCCAAGCCTAAACAGGGGAAGTCAGGAGGCACAGGTCGGGTTCGAACCACGGACCTTTCGGTCAGTAAATTTCCACTCTAACCCAATGTCAGTGGTGACTGTATATCTTTGGGACAAGGTAGGATCACCGAAGCGATGTGTAAGGTTTTAAGAAAAAATAGACATGAAACAGCAATGTACTAGTGGAGCCAGGCTGTGCTGAAAAGCCGAGAGGCATTGTACAGCTGCTCCACCCTCAACACCAGCAATAGCGTTCAGCTGTAGCACGCTTCCGGTACCTGACTGCCATGCCACCCGAAGGAAGCACGAGGGCTGGGATACTGTCAGGTTGCCCAAGCATAGACAAAGGAAATCGAGAGGCAGAGGTCGGGTTCGAACCAAGGACCGGCCGGTCAGTAAATTTGCACTCTAACCACTTGGGCCATCTCGCCCCACGAGTAGTGCGCAAAGAAGTTTCGAACCGGCGACCTCACCACACCATGTTCAGTGACGACGCCTCGGACGCAAGTTTCACCCGTCGCGTGAATTTTATTCTTTCTCTGAGTATGAGGAGAATTGGAAATGTTTGACGGAGATTTCGCCAAGTAGGCGAACCCAGTTAATGCCGAAAAGCATTGTACGGCTGCTTCATTCTCGTTAGGTCTGAGCAGCATTCCGACAAGTCGTGCCTCGAGGAGCCAGTCAACACACGTGACCACCTGTTGTGGATGCGGTAACTGGCGGATGAGTGGCGCGAGTTAATCACACTGCTGATCAGCCAGGCGCCTGGGGGCCGAGCGCACAAGTGTTCAAATTACAAACCGGAGGTCGTGAGTTCGAGACTTCCCAGAGTTTCGTCAAATGTGTACTGCTCACCATTCCCAAACAGGATTGAACAGCTGTTCACAGGCTTTGAGCATAGACTGGCTTCACTGACAAGACAAAACCTCTATTAAAATGGCATGGCTTTCGAAGTTCCAGCTCTATTAGAGGCCGTGTGTGACAAAATTTCATATGAAAGCCAGTGAAAGACGCAAAACGCCAACCATCAGCCTGCCGACAAAGAAACTGTCATATAGTATAAGAGAACACATGGATCAGATGTAACACCCATCCGGGGCCTAGCTACAATGCCACACGAAGGAAGCACGAGGGCTGGGATACTGCCAGGTTGCCCAAGCCTGGACAGGAGACATCGAAAGACAAAAGTCGCGTTCGAACCACCGACCTTGCGGTCAGTGAATTCGCGCTCATACTATTTTAGCCATCTCACCCCTAAGAAAGGAAACGAGCGAATCCAGACCAACAGAGGTCATGATTTACGGAACTGACCCGGTTCGAGGGCACAAGATTAATATATATATAGATACAGAGTTGCACTACCGTACATCAAGACATAACACATAGTCAGGCAGAACCACAAAATCTAGGTCAGGCAGTTAGAAACCAAAGTTAACGAAGTGAACTGCGGAACACCGTGCTCCAACCACAAAGCAGCATACAGACGGGTTGCCAATAGTCATCAAGGAATTGAACAAACAACAAGCGCGACTAACGCCCCTGTGAAATTAGCTGTTCAGGCTGTACGATGAGATCACAAACCAAGCTGAATCACCCGTTTCATTTGGTGCGATATTCGAGATATCGTGATCTACTGTGTGGAGGTAATGCACTACTCATAAGGTCGCTTAAGAGCTGGGTTCCGGGTGAGTCTCCCGTCAAAACCAAATAGGCATGCAAGTGAGTGTATTTCGCTAAAAAGTTAATTTTTTTTTGAATAAATTGCTGGATTGCAAACCCAACCTCTCTACTGCTGGCGTGTTGTGGATGTCCAGATCTGTCAAGACGGCAGGGATCGTCTTTGAAAGTTTGTGCAAAGCCTGGTCAAAATACACAGAAAAATAGTTGGCAAGCCGCAGACGGAATGAAACTCCAATCTAACTTACGTCCGGATTACGGGCTCAGTCTGTTTCAGGCCAATTCGGAACGCAGTCTGAAAAAGCCATCCGAGTATACTTATCGGTCAAGGGGGCGCTCTGATTTGAAGACAACTACTAGGGTACCGCCTGATTAACTGATCGATTTGCTCGTTCGAATGCACAGCCATGAGAAAACGTCAAGTAGGGAAGCGTGAAGGGGGGGATGAATTCATGGGGGTTAGATGGAAAAACCAGCATACCATTTCCTTGAGATCTGCCAAAGGTTCTTCGTCCAGGACCAGAGCGATCAAAGCGGTATCCACTAGTTTCAAATTGGACTTGTTGTTCAGGGTCAGAAGACGTTCGCGAGCCAAATATGCGTCATCTCGGTTCATGGTCGTTATGACGCCCAGACCGGGTGCTGATGGGACTGGAGGTCGGGAGAGAATAAAGTTGATGTTGGAGAGTAGTTGTTTCGGAGAGACTGGATTTCCCTACGGAACCAAGACGAAAGAGAACACCCAATGAAATGGCTGTATCGTGATGTTGAAGGCGACCCTAACGGGAAGGCTAGATAAGTCTTCGTCATCATCATCATCATGAAAAAATAGTCGGCAGTTGGCGTTTAACTGGCATAAACAAAAGAACAAAGTAAGTTGAGTGATGCACTACTCATAAGGTTGCTGGAAATACTTCGATAGCTCGGTTTTGCAAGGTTGTCTTGGTCCTCTTGGTGTTAGCTCAGGCCTCTCATGAAATTTGGACGCACATCGAAGCGAATTTTAGTCAAGTAAACATAAGAAATCAGTTTTATATCATTGTTTCAAATATCACAAACGAGAGATTCAGCTGGGTCCCAGGTGAGTCTCTCGTAAAACCAAATTTGTTTACATTTCGCTAATTTGTGCAATTTGGTTTCAAGTAGAACATAAGGTTGACGGAAACCCGGGGACTGCGCCTACCTGATGAGCCCCAAGAAGGGCGAAACCGGTCGTGGGCTGTCGATGGATTTTCAGCAACCTTATGAGTAGTACATCATGAAGACAGATATTTGTTTTTTTCGAAAAAAACAAGGTACACATGAGAATTTTTCTTTACTGTCCAATAGTCTTCAACTGTTTAGTAGAGATCCCCACCTTTCACGGGTGATGATATTTGCACCAAAATTTAGTCCCTCCGGTTGTAACTAATCAAGAAGTCAGTAAGAAGGATTTGCAGGTAATTGCGAAGATTTCGCCAAGGCACGGGCAATGCAACCGATGTCAGTGGCGTTCTTGTTGTCAGTTTCTATCCAGAATGTCTGAATGAGTGTCTGGGAGTGTAGGTACTTCGGAATGATTGTAGTAAGCTAGCGCTATGTCCCTTCCCGGTCCGCCTTCACTCTTTTCTTCACAATAAGTCTTTGAAATAAATTATGATTGTACGGCAGAGAAGCATCGGTGTTGAACACTGATGTCATGCTGTCGATGATGATGACAATTCGAGGATGCAGATTCTTTAAAAATTTAAAGGTGATCTAGCCAACGCGAAAACTGGCGTGTAGGGGTTGCTGCGTTAGACAACGATCGGTTTCGTAAATGCATTACTAGTCCAGTCAAACGTCACTTGAGAGCCAGAGGAAACTTAGTATGAGTGTAAGCACACCCGGACAGCTGTGCACCAGTGCTAACTCTCGGTGCGCTACGGTCGAAGATGTCATACGTGAGAAACTCATCCATTCCTCAGTTATTGCCACTAGGTGTGAGGTTCGATTCCTTTGCTTTACCGAAGTCTTCAATGTCTTCCGATAATGGCACATGTTCTTCGGGGGTAGGTCGCTAAAACCTTATCGAACGTGAACCGCAACTTTAACGTCTTGTAACACTATAAATAGCATCCTTTTCGGGACCGTAGCTAGCTCAATACATCAAAACGGGACCAGACTAGACAAAATGTGAACTCACGTAAACGTCAAAGACATCAAAGACGTACAACTGTCCGTGATGAATCACAAGTACGTGTCTGGCAGAAGGATCTGTGAGCAACCGATCCTTTTCGGGTTCGGGTAGGCGCGTAGTGTTGAACATGAGTGGATACTGACTCATATCCAGAGGGTAGGCCTACATCGATCGAAAATTAGAAAAAGAACACTGAATGAAACAGTTAGACCAAGTGGGTCAACAGAGTTATGGGGGACGTCCGGTCTACGAGTTATGTTGGGCAAAAAACAGAAATACAAAATCGCTCCTGCAGTGAACACAATCGGCTCCACGAAGAGGTTTTCGAGGCTTTTCTTCACGCACCTCATCATCCAGCGACAATTCCGCAAGAGTGGAGTGCTTACCGACAATGACGACCGACAGCTTCCAACAAACGAAACTTTGAGTAGCTGCTTGTAGTAATGGTATTTTCCTTAGATTAATTCTTGGTCTAAGCCTCCCAACCTAGTGTTCACGTCAAAACAACCACCGAAGGGGCACAAGGTATATTGACGCCAAAAATGAAATCCAGAATACTTGTACAGCGCTTCATATATATAATGTAAACGGCGACAAATCTCTGGAAATTCCGACGCCTTCTGGATGCACCATTGACAACCGGCATCCGGCCAGTACTGGGTCATGATTGGGTCCGGGCTTTCGACCAATCAGATCTCGGCTTGACGCCGGACTGGCAAGCATCCAAAAATTCTGGCCACTCTTGTGCGGAATAGGCTTCTGGGCTGTAGGAGCACTTGACTACGAACGGTAAAGTGGGATCCGTGTGGGATTCCGCCTAACACTGCTCCTCTGACGAAGACTACCGATGTATCACCACGGGCGAGAAGGATAAATTCATTCTGCTTAGGCGATAACGAAGGCCTATAGAACCAAGGTGTGCAACAAGAATGAGTCGACACACCTCCCCAATTGAATGAGACAAAAGGAAGACACTGGAGACAATCAGTTAACCTGGAAGAAGCATTACCAGTTAACCTTCCTTCTACATGTGATCGGGCTCTCATGACTGACCGGCTTTGAGCGCTAACCCCAAACAGTTAACTTAAATAGACGTGGACAATTAATATCATCGGGGAATAACTACCGTGGTGTCTGATTTCATACATAGGGAGCCGAATCAACTCAGTGGTTCAGACGCGAACTTACTGACCAGAAGGACCGGGGTTCGAATCCAACCCCGACATTTCGACTGATCCTGATTGGGAGTGGGAAACCTGGCAGTCATCATCATCATCGACAGCATGACATCAGTGTTCAACACCGATGCTTCACAGCCGTACAACCATGACTTATTTGAAAGCCTTATTGTGAAGAAAAGAATAAAGGTGGATGGGGGAGGGACTTAGTGCTAGCTTAACACAATCATTCCGAGGTGCCTACACCTCCAGACATTCACTCAGGCAGTCTGGATAGAAACTGACAACAAGAACGCCACTGACATCGGTTGGCAGCCATATTTTCACGTGTCTCCGACCGGGCACAGTGAGGATCACGCGGTCCCCACCCTGGAAGGATACCTGGCAATATCTCGACCTTTGTGCTTCCTTCGGGTGGCATGGTAGCTAGGCACCAAAAACGTGTTACAGCTGAATGGTGGTTCCAACCGGACTTCTGCCTCTCGACTTCCCTGTCTAGGCTTGGGCTACCTGGCAGTATCCCAGCCCTCACGCAACCTTCGGGTGGCATGGCAGTAAGGTACCGAAAGGGTGCCACAGCTGAACGAATTTTTTACAGCTGAGTGATTATTATTCTACTATCACTTTTCATTCAGATGATGTAGATGGAGGGAAATTCCCTCACCGGTTAACAACAGTGTATATTCAACGGCGTCAGTTTTGACCGCTGGCACTGGCCTTATGGTATCCTACTCTGTATCGGTGAAAGGTACGCTACTGAGCGTTGTGTGATCCCCGGATTTCCAGGGATGAGATTCACGTGATTCAAACTGCATGTGGAGGAGAAGTTATAGGTCCACTCAGTGGCTAGGGTCTTTACTACTTAGCCAGAGTGTACGGTTGGTTGTTCTGTTGGAATTTCTTGGGCAATGTGTGTAAGGATGCTGGAACATTGTGCTGGCTGTGTCACCTAAACCTTACCCTATGCTTAGATATCCTTAATTTAATGTCAGTAGAAGTTTAGGCCGTTCAGAACCGTTTTTTTTCAAAGGACACTAGGTTCTCTCTTCATTTTCTTCACATGATTGTGTGGCAGACAAGTACCAGTGTAACGGTGATTCTATGGATAGGGAAGCATGTGAGTAGTATGTTTTTTTCTTGTAAATTCGCTTTGCATCTCTTGAAAAGGGAGATCTGTTGCGGACTTTGTGGAGTCACTGTGTAGCATATGCTTGGATTTGAGCAATGAATGATTGGAGTCAATGAATATCCATGGGAGTTCAAGAAGACGCGGTCAGGAGAAGATGGATGTTCAGTTTTTGTAAATAAGATGCAAATGAGAGTTTTGTCCAATAGTCTGTAACTGGACAGTTGGCATTTTCTAATAAACAACTCCACAGCGAAGGCCTTCTTCCTTTCACCAGTATCTGTTACTAATGTATTGTTACCAACGTGGATGACGACGACCTATAGCTAAGAAGCAAATGTGTTTGGTCCAAGAGAATTTCGCAACGCAGACCTTCCCAATCAGGAAAGAAAACTCTTGTCTTTTTTTGCAGCCAACAGCTGTAAATTCATAAGCACTGTTGTCCAGTATAAATCAATACTGGCATTAGGTTGAACCATACACTAATATCGCCTTACCACTCACCATTAGGCCCTGCTAACGCCAAAAGGCGCGACTCGTACGTGATTGGTCAGCAGATCAGGCCGCTTGCCTGTCCAGCATCAAGGCGAGCTCTGATTGGTCGACCCAACAGCCAATCTGCTCCAGGGTCCGCCGGATACCGGCCACCCATGCCACAACGCGTTCGAATTTCCGAACCATGATCGTTGCATACACTTTGAATACGGCACGCTATGTATAATTTTTTACCTGTTCCAATTCAAATCGTGTACGCTAGCTCAGGATAAACAGATGGAGAACCGAGCCGAGGCGTTACTTTTATTACAAACATGGCCAGGATATCACACAAGTCAGTCAAGAAGCACCCAGTGACAAAGTAGGAATCGTCTAAAAAGAGCACTTTCAGGTGTTAGACGTCATAGAAAGCTACATATTTCAAGACAAACCGATATTTGAACCCTTCGGTTTGTTTCGAAGCGGCTACCAGCCTGCATTTTCTACAACTTGCGATGATCAAGAAAACTACAGAAGCACCATTCTTACCACGGCATCCAGTGTTAATGAGATGGGATAAAATTGATTAAACTGGATCGGTGACCAACAGGGTGACAATGAGGGTCACAAAAGATGAGAAAAAAATGAGTGTCTAGCTGTAACACCCTTCCGTTACCTAACTGCCATGCCACCAGAAGGAGGATACCGTCAGGTTGCCTCAGGCTAGACAGAGAAAGTCGAGAGGCAGAGGTCGGGTTCGAATCACGGACCTTCCTGTCAGTAAACTCGCGCCCTAATCACTTGAGGTCACAACAAGGCTCCAGGATGGCCTACTCTCAACTTGTTGCCATTTGGAAGGGAAGAGGGGTACAGAACAAAAGGGTTTTGTGTCAAAACCTCGAAAAAACATACCACGCTTGTTCTGTAGGCCAGTTAACATGACAGTTTGGGTCTGGGTGGATGTACTGATCGATCTTCTCATGTGGTCGTGGAATTCGCAGCTCGGATGCATCGGATGGTTGCGGACCCGCATATCAAGCCTATCAATTGATGCTATTCATCAAAGTAAACCCGAAAAAGGTCAGATAAGTTCTTGAAAACCCCAAAAAAATCAAGTGTTTGCAAACAGAATATGCACAATACTACCAAATATCCAGTAAACTAAACTCACATTGAAAAGATAGGCCGCATAGGTGGCCACCGACCGGGGCACAAATCGCATTATCTGATTAAAACGTGGAGTTTTTGATTTCTCCGGGTTAAGGTGAAAGACTTCCGGTTCCAACAAGTTTGTGCGAAGCAATCGGCAAAACTCAACAAGATGATGAAGCAGATTCGTTGCTCGAATGGCGGGCTGTTCAGAAGGGAGGATACGTGTAAAATGGAGGGGCGGAGTTAGACAGGAGCGATTACTGGCCAGGTGAAGTAGTTGAGTACATCGACACAAGAAAGGGGCAGGGAAGGTGGCAGTTATGCATCAGTAGGATAGCCAAAAGACGCACCGCGGTCTAACGAACCCTATTATGATTGCATGGTAGTAGGACACAACCGAAAAGATATGCTGCTCCGCCGACCGAACATCATTGACAGTTTCAAGGTTGTAATAGAGGAAGTGCTATGTAGTACTACGTAATACACTACTGAAAAGGTTGCTGAAAACTTTTCGACAGCCAACGACCGCGTAATACACAACGAAAAGGTTGCTGAAAACTTTTCGACAGCCAACGACCGGTTCTTGGGGCTTGTCAGGTAGTTGAAACCGTCAAACGTATGTTCTGCTATCTTCTCAATACGGAAGCCGATTATGAGGAAAGCGAATCGAGCTAGGTGACCAGGATTTCAGAGGGAAGAGAATGCTACATCAAGACAAATTCCTACTCTAATGACCTCACTTTCAAGTCTAAGGTTGCACCGAAACCAAACAGTGTAGCACATCAGCGTCAAATATCCCGCGCGAATGCAAGAACTAGGGTAAAAAGCGACGTTACAAGGATGCCACCCTCCTTCTGACCTATCGGTGTGTTCATCAGGGGCCAATCACTGCTCCCGCATAGTGGACGTGCATTTCTAACCCGTGTATACACAGCTGATTGGCAGATGCTTAGCGAAGGTTCCAGCTCGGTTGTAGAGAATACTGAGCGCCGAAACATCAAGTGGAACACATCCACAATGGCTTGTGCACACCGTAGCCGCCCCATGAGAGCGAATCGCTTCGTCAAACCCCGAGGAGCGAAGATCCCCCACAGCGAACCATTTGGCGGGACTCGGTGTCATGCCGTCAACTTCGCAAGAAGATTGTTGTACGCTGTAAACCACTATCACAAACGCCAAATTAGACTTTAGAAGTTGAGCACAATTTTGAAAATATCGTCAAAGACGTTGCTAAGATAATACAGACCAATATAATAAGCAAGACAAGATAAATAAATCGGTAGCACACTATGTTCCTGGTCCGATTATTAGTAACAGAGCCGGCGAGCAAGAGCAGGCAAAGCAAATTTCCGAAAACAGTATGAATGATATGCCATGACGTCATCCGATGACACCGTAAGGAGCCACTGAATGACCGCGGTGTGGCGGTCATGTGTGCTAATGCATGTGATGCGCTATGCGAGGTGGTATGATTCCCAAATATCGCGAACAGATCCCGTAGTGCACTTACCACCGCAGAAACAACAGTCTCTCTTACGATATCATACCATGCCACCGGGACACAACTCAAACGATGCGCTAGGGGACAGTAAACTGACCGCATGTGACATCAACGGTCAATCCAATTGTAAAAAAACAAATCGTTCAGCTAACACCCTTCCGGTGCCTAGCCGTCATACCACCTGAGGGAGGCACGAAGGCCGACATACTGCCGTGATGGTCACGCCCAGTCAGGAGCAGTCGAGACAGCGAGGCAGGTAAGTTCGCGCCTTAACCATTGAGCTACTTCGAGGTCAACTATCGGTGAATAATTCGAAAGTCTTATCTGAATGATCGCCGGTACTCGCATAGGACCTAATGATTGTCAAGCCACTAGCTTGGAATTTAGCCAAATGCTTACAGTATAGATGAGTGACACAGACAGTGTCGGAAAGTCGAGCCATGTGAACGCTTTCGTTCAGTCACTTTTTTGCAAAATCAATGCCGATCGATGGAGCTTTCGCGGTGTGCATACCTCAGTACAGACGAGCAATTGACGGTAACGTTGTAAGAAGTCATTAAGTGGTGAACTACTGTACACCGACCATAAATATCGATCGACGGCTCATCCTGATTGAATCGAAGCTGTCGGTTGTCGAACGCCAACAAACTGTAGCTGGAGTTATTCTCAGAATGTTGCATTCTTAGGGCAGGGATTGTCACGAGCAAGTCATACAAAACCTCTTATTCAAACCAGGAGGCGAGATGGTCCAAGTGGTTAGAGCGTGCGGATTTACTGACCGGAAGGTCCGTGGTTCGAACCCGACCTCTGCCCCATCTTGACTTCCCCTGTCTAGGCTTGGGCAACCTGGCACTTTCCCAGCCCTCGTGCAACCTTCGGGTGACATGGCAGTTAAGCACCGAAAGGATGTTACAGCTGAACGATTTTTTTAATTTTACACAGTAGAAAAAAGAACGGCTTACGTCAATTTCTGCGAAACTTGGTCAAAGAAAAAACTGTGACTAGCCCATAGTTCGACCACATATTGCTTTTCAACTGACTAGGAACGCATTTCTGCCAAAACCATTCTTGCTGGGTCCTTTCAAGTGCTTACGATTCCGTCCCAATCCTGGCGGCAGCAGCATGGGTCACCGCCCACACCGCGTCTCCTCCGGCGGTGAGTGTTAAATTTATTTAGATTTAATTAATTAATTATTGCTTAGCGCGTTGTCACTAAAGTGACTTTGAATTTATGGGCAATCAGCAGGCTACACCAGCAATCACAGTGTCCAACCCTCCATGATAACGGTTCTCGACTACGACCATCAACAGTCGACGAACCGCGGGATCAGATGAAATGTACCCCCGAAACGAGGACCATCACAAAAATAGGGAATTTCGGATACCTTTACCAGTCCCTCTCCAGACCAGATGTGCTTTTCTCTAAAGTGTGGAGATTTTTCAACATTTACTTTCACGGTAGTCGTGACGGCAATCCGTCGAACGGATATCAGCTTATCCATGGAATAATCAACGGTGTCGTGGAAGTAGTGCGATAGTCCAAACGATAGTAGATTCATTGATCACCAGGGTGTACTGCTGCAGTTTTTTTTATCCCTACCAGCTATCCGTCCAGTCTCCGAGTAAACTGGACTTTCGAGGATCCCATGCCTACACTATGAACTCATTGAGATTGCTACCACCAACTGGTTTTCTTTCGTCGTAGCGAATATCATCTGCTTTTCGAAACTCATTTGTGAAAAAGCTCCGAGATTCGATTCTCAAATTCCACAACTCAGAGATTAGGAAGGATGCGAAAATTTTGGTTTCACACTGAATGGTCATTATTTAAGCTACAAAACACCCGTGTACTTTTATGGATTAGACCGTTGGGATCGCACCTGATAAGAAGAACAACTCACCACTCAAATGTGTTGTTAAACCGAGAATGCTACCCTGTCAGCCGATACATGACCTGAAGTGTGGACAGACTGAAAGTCCAGAGAGATGAAAGGCGAAAGTGTGTAGGGTTCATCACATCTAGGAAACTGCTAGTCGAAAAGATAAGCAACATAAGGAATTGGAATGTGGGGCCAGATCCCATATTAGTACAAGTCATGCATACGCACGCACACACACACACAGGTCGAAAGGTAGATCACTCTGTGAGGACGCCCACTGTCAGCCATCACCAAAAATAAAGAACCAGGAAAAATTGTCTTCCGTTGTTGTTTTTTTTCTGAATAGGTTGACTGGGCTTTTCAAAAACAGGGAGTGTGATATTCCAGTCCATAAAACCCCTGGCAGAAGTTGTTCGACAAAGAGTCGTGAGTCTAAGAAAAATATATGCAAGTTAAGAGGGAACTGGGCACCACAGTTGGCCGGCCACTGGGTGTCAGACATTCCCTGCAACAGGGTCCACCGGTCAGCTTGTCATTTTGCCCGGTAAAATCGTCAATAAAAGACTCATATTTTCTCCAGTTCGTTCTTTCACTTCAGTGTGGGCGACCGGAGACAGGGTGATCTCCCTCCACTAGACAGAAATGGTCGCGTAGTCATCATCATCATCAGCAGAGACAGCAAAATCAGTGCTCACACCGAAGGGAAAGCAACCGAGAAAATTCGACCAATGGAGGAACAGAGCTTTTTTGGAGATAGGGTCGCTGGATAGAGGGGCAAAGGGCTAGAGATGAAAGAAACCACGAGGCATTTGGGTGCTGTCGGTGGTACTCGCCTTCCAAGATGGGGGCCTTGTGGTCCCCACTGAGCCTGATTGGAGACGCTTCAAGATATGGCTGCCAACCGATTTCAGTGGAGTTCTTGTTGTCAGTTTCTATCCAGATTGCCTGACTGAATGTTTAGAGGTGTAGACACCTGAGAATGATTGTGGTCCCTTCCCCGTCCACCCATATTCGTTTTTTTCATAATAAGTCTTTCAAATAAATCATGGTTGTACGGCAATGAAGCATCATTGTTGAACACTGATCTCATGCTGTGCATGATGATGATGATGATGATTTTATATAAAGATCATCATTATAGCTGTCTGGTTTGCTGAAGCGTCTTTCAAGTGGCATAAGAAACCCAAAAATCGGAAGCGCGAATAGATAAGAATGCGCTTGTTCCCACCTAGAGCTCTCTATCCTGGTGTGTTTAGCGAAGAACAGCTGCAAATTTCGGATGTCCCCCTTGGATACAACTCCGTCCAGTATGTTCTTTTCTGAGAACTATCATAGTATGCTTGCGAGTAAGCCTTCGCACGGGAGATCAATAAACGGTGACCTACAGTGACTGGGAAACGATTCGTATCCCGGATGTTTGAACATAATGACCAAAAATATGGCATTTAGGGAAACATCAAACAATCGGACATACAGAGTTAAGTAATTCGCTTCCGCCCATCTTCGTTTAAACAAAATCTGCATATTCGACACTTACACCAGCTCAGGTGACTCCAGCACGCACTGATGCATCGGTGGTAACACGCTCGACTCTCGTGTCACATGTGCGGAGTTCAGAGCCCGGTACGGACAAGGAGATACACTCTGTTGATGAGACCCAAAAAGAGGGCCCCACCCCCTTGGTGTAGGCTTACCAGAATTACTACGACAGGACAGAAAGAGGACCGTTTTCAAACGAGTGTGATGTGGGCTAAACTTTCAGCAGGCGGTAAGCATCAGTAGATCTAAAAGCGAAGCTTACAAGGACAACATCCTCCATACAATGAAGTGCCAAGCAGATTAAAGAAAACCCTCCCCAAATTCGACTGCCAGAGAAGCTTCGAGAATGCATAAGCAGCAATCCGCGTAGCTTCATAATAAATAAAAGTTTCTGTGTGGACTACTCGAGTGACACATGCTAGATTCGTTGAGCAATGTGCGCGTGGTTTGCCACAAAGATCAAACTATTCCTCTACCGGTTGCTTCCTACTGTAACGGGACGAGGATGCTGAGGACTGCATGCCGGCGACGTTATAGAATATAGGCGAAAGGAATAAGGCCTTCGCTGCGGAGCTGTTTGTTGGTAAGCACCAACTGAGCAGTTACAAACTATTGGTCAGTGAAGCAAAACTCTCATATGCATCTTGTTTATAAAAACTGAGTAACCGTTTTCTCCTCGAACGCGTCTTCCTAAACTTTCTTGAATACCCATTGACTATCACTCAAATGTAAACGAATGCTTCATAGCAATTCCGGAAATTCCGTAATAAATCTCACTTTTCAATGGACGCGAAGGGGATTTACGAGAAAACCACATACTACTCGCATGCCTCATCAGTAGTATCCACCGTTACATAGGTGGGCGCGTTGCTTGGTTGTTGGTCTGTTCACCGAGCTTGCCACCGATCCCGGAGAAGGGTTTTGACACGATAGGGAAAATAGTCCTGACTGCGGAAAAAAAACTGAGGAATTCGCCAAAAACAACCCGGGATAGTTCCAAATCTTTCGTTCTAAACAACACACACGTTATAGGAAAAAACGGCGCTGGTGAAGTTAGGTTGGTAAAAGAAACTACTCGAGTGGAAGGAAACAGACGTTGTTTTATACCTTTTGATATCCTGATCCTAGCGTGGAATCCTTGAGAACGATGACCGGGTTATGTGTGAGCACTACCGGCCGTCGATCACGCAAATACATGTCCGACCACATGCTAGTGATGTAGCTCGTATGCCGATGCGTCTTGGCGTAGTGTTCCAGCTCATGTTGTAACTCTGGTCCGCGTTCCACACGGAACTTCGCGACGAGTTTTTCGGTATGCCTCAACTGCTCGGTATCCAACAGAGCTTTCTGTAAAGGACAGGGGAAAAGGAGCAGGAGATGAACGAGTATAGGTTCTTTACAACCATCGCTGGGGAGAAACAGTGGAAATCGTTTTGAGCATTTGAAGGACGAAAGCAGAGTCATCTGAAGCAGATAAAGGGCACAGATACTGCCTGTGCAGCAGGAGTGTGAAACGTCAGAACTGGTATGCAGGTGATGTGTGCCAACGTCAAGCTTATATAATCCGCCGTCCACTTCAATGCCTATCTTGTATCAAACGCACTTGCATGAAACCCCCTCACCAACCTCCCTCCTACCTGATAACCAAATTACCTGAGGGTTGCTGTTTTTTTCCATTCTCTAGACATGTTTGATGGTCATCGGATGTTGAGTAATTTGGGACTGAAACTTCCCGAGATGCTGAGCCACCGTCTTATTAAAAAAAGATTTCCCTTACTCGTATATCTTTATAATGTACTACTCTAAGATTGCTGAAAATCCGTCGACAACCAACGAACGGTTTCGTCCATTTTGGGCTCATCGGGAAGGCGTAGTCCCCGGGTTTCCGCCAGCCTTATGTTCTACTTGAAACCAAATTGCACGAAATTAGCGAATATACACTCATTTGCAAACTAATTTGGTTTTTCGAAAGACTCACCTGGAACCCAGCTGAATTTCCCGTTTGTGATGTTCTCATGTGTCGCGATATCTCGAATATCGTAGCGACTGAAACATGAGGCGGCCTGGTGCAGTATATTTAGCTGATTAAGAACACCATAAAAGATTCAGCTGGGTTCTAGGTGAGTTGGCCATCAAAACCAAATTAGTTGCAAATGAGTGTATATTCGCTAATTTCCCTTACTCATCTACCCACGTGAAGATGGATTGACATTCAACTCGTCTCACACCACCTGAACGTGGCCATCATTTCCCCGTTCTTCTCAGTTCGACTCAGTTTTCATTCCCAAATCGCTTCAAATAACTCAGCCTTGCACTCTCGCAGTTTCCACAGTTTTCCACGGTTCAGGTTCCAAGTTATAAGTCCGAATTTTCGTGATTGATGTGTGTTTAGTAGTTCTTCTCGTGTTTTCAGTCGTCTTCTTCATAAAAGACAACAATGTCACGGTTGGCGCTGATAGATGCTGTAAACAGTGCACCAAGGGGCGAGATGGCCTAGGTGGTTAGAGCGCGAATTTACTAACCGGAACGTCCGTGTTTCGAACCCGACTTCTGCCTCTCGATTTCCCCTGTCTATGCTTGGGAAACCTGGCAGCATCCCAGCCCGTGTGCTTCCTTCGGGAGGCATGGCAGCTGGGAGACGGAAAAGTGTTGCAGCTGAACGAAAGGAGGCAATCGATACGGAAGTCCGGCTCACTGGCAAAGACAATTCCATTTTGGGGAGAGGTGCGAGTCCTTGTGAGAACCGGAAAGTTACGGGGGAGTTTATTTCTAATCGAGGATTGAAAGTTTCTTCCACTTGCGAAGAATATCATAAGGTCGTGCGAAGAAAGACTATAGCCCAATGGGGATAGCACGCACCCGCATTGTGATTTACGAACGACAGTCTAGTTTGCCTAGTGACACCGGAGTCCGGGCTTTCTCGCTCTAAGAATATTTGGATTGTTAAGCTAACCATAAAAGGAAAAGTCATCTTGAAAGGGGACGTCTAGTTTGCCAAGCAATCAAGTAAGTCCTAGGTCAATAAAATTTGGCAACGAGTTCCAAACGCAACCATAGAAAAAAAATAGCTATGACAAAATTAACTTACCTGGGAATTGACATAGCGTTCCAAGGTCTTCTCTAGAGCAGGCACGCGGAGTCTTGGAAGACTGGCTTGAAAATGGTCCGTGCAGAGACCAGGTTTCGCATTTTCTGCGGGGGGCTTTGTGCTGTATGCTGAATAGGAAGCATGGGGCTTCAAAAGCCGCCGGGCTACCGGACATACAGGAAGGCGGGACATATTGCCTGAAAAGAACGAGGACACAAATGCAAATCGAGCTTATAACCAATGGGTACCCATTTTATTGGAAATAGTGAAATTATAGTCGAGCAATCGTTTAGCTGTAACACGTGTCCGAGGCATAGCTAGTCAAGGAAAGCACGACGGCCGGAATACCACACAGGAGCAACCGAGATGTAGAGGTTGGGCTGGAACTACGGACCTTCCGGGCATTAAGATCACGTTTTAACTGCCGAGCTATCTCGAGCTCACTTTATTAGGAGTTTAAAAAAGCATGTTCGATCGTATTGAAGTGGCCCCATAAGTTGGTTTGGCCGAATCTAGAAAAGTTCGACCACTGGGACGATGTCCTTTTTTATGAACCATCAGGTACGTGCAGAGCGGCCGTAAGCTGACACCTAGATTAACCATTTCAGGTTGTTACCCTTTGAACACGCGTTCCCCACCCAGTTTGTGAAGCCGGTGAAGTTAACTTCAGATGCTTTTTGTTTGACTAGCTGTAAAGTAATACACACAGTCATCTGACTACCAGAGAATAATCTGGAACGTATCATATTCATCATCAGCTGTAAAAAACGCGTACTTGCCGTACAGTGGTTCTAGCTGCCACAGTTTCGTTCACGGATGATTTATGGGGGGATAGATGGCTGCGTATGTAATTGGTGCGCACATACAAGGTTGTCAGTGGACTCTTAATTGAGGAGATTGGGAGGGGAGTAATTCATCGGATGCATGGTTGCCATTGAGGGCGTGACTGCACCATGTTTGAAAATGTATCTAACCATTGATGTAGCCCATCCCGGTATCCCCAGCTACGGAGACATCGTTGACCAGCGCAACTGAGTTTGCTGATAATGGCTTTTATACTTCGATGCCAGGTCATTGTTTCGTCTCCAATGACTCGTTTCTACCCCTCGCGTGGTTGTGCAGAAAAATCGTTGACCGCGCAACTGAGTTTGCTGATAATGGCTTTTATACTTCGATGCCAGGTCATTGTTTCGTCTCCAATGACTCGTTTCTACCCCTCGCGTGGTTGTGCAGAAAAGTCCTTCGGGGAAGTCCACCAAATGGCATGCGGAGAACTTTGCCAAGTCAGAGCAACCTATGCAGTCTAATCAGTACATCTATCGTAGGCGAGTTGTTTCCTTCGGAAGCTATTCCACCTACTGTTGAATTGTTTCCGTAGTTCCAACCAGACCCGGGAAATGCTCTGAGGACATCTATGGTCAAACACTGAAAGTCTTTTGACGTCCTCAGTGCTTAGCGGCTGGGTTTCTGACCTATATAATAATATGGAGCGGCCGTCAAGAAGAGACTAGACCTTACCGTGGTGTGACGGTTTGCGCACCTCAGCGATCCATTGAGCTATACTGGAGAGTGTCCCGCGACACCCACAGAGTCTCTCATACCAGGTTGGTCAATGGTTAGAGGTCTGATGAACAGTCCTCCGGCCCTCCAGGTTGGGGGCATGTGGCGACTTGTTCCATGAGTCTCTCATGGTTGGTCAATGGTTAGAGGTCTGACGAACACAGTCTTCTGGCCCTCCACGTTGGGGGCTGGAACATGTGGTGACTTGTTTGTTCGAAATGGTAATGTATTTGCATTTCCCGCCAAACACCGCTGCCTTGCGGTTAGGCTTTTGAGCCAAAGGCTTTGGTTGAGGACCCTAATCGTCCTCCTGTCTAGGTGTGGGCGCCCTGGCAGTATCCCAGCCCTCGTACAACCATGACCTACACAACTAACAATATTCTCATGCCACATCGGCCGTCGCGTGGTGCCATCAGCCGGGTCGCCTTACTTGCTGCATACAGCAGGGCGCGTAAGCGAAAACAGGCTACTGCTGACGCCTCCCTTCTTTCTCCTTCACATACTTTTTCTTCCCCCTCTCCCCACCCCATTAATAACTCTCTCCTTGTAGGCCCAGCACTTAGGACTGATGACTCCGTTCGTCA